ACCGCTTCCATCCTCTGGCATAAAACCCTCCGCAATTAAGGAAACTTCTCTGGTCACCTTAACACAGAAAGGCCAATGATTTATTAACTGCATATCAACTCAGTTAGCTTTTTGTAAACGTGCCAGAAAACCAGCAGTAGGCATATCCCATCCTACAGCACAAACAAAAGAAACAAAAAGCACTGCACGGCAGAAGCGAGCACATGGATAGTACCATGAAAGAGCTGATGTGCAAGGACACATCTCATTCACCCATAGGGAACTGGGAAGGTCGTCATATGCTAAAAAGGCTAGACAACAAGAAAACTAACATAAGGTAGCAAACAGTATATAGTAATACTATGACTTCTGATTTACCTTGCCAACCATCTACCAAACCCCTCTGCGTACTTACCCATGCACTGCAAACACTTTAACACGTGTGGACAGCTACTTAAGCGGCCCAACATTTTTAAAGGGTTATTCAGCCTTTATAATGAGACTTTATTAACAAATTCAAATGAAAAACACACTCCTATGTGCATTCAGGTATAGCAAAACAAGAAAGAGATAGGTTTCAAAGTTGTAGCTGAAACAGTTCTCCTTCGCTTACTTGAGTGAGCGTTTTACACAGCAAAGCAGCAGGGGAAAAACACTAGTCTGAAATAGCTAGTAAACCCATGAAGCAAAGGAAGTGACACATTTAGCAATTTTACAGAAGCCTCTTTTTTTTTTTTTAAATTCTAAAATAATTTAGAAGTTGATAGGACAAGCAAGCACACAGACAGCGTAGGCTTTTGGAAAACACCATTCTTTAAAAATGAGGTCCTAGGAAAGTGAACTGCTCTGCTATCAGCTAGCTGTAGATCTGAACCATGTCAAAGGAATTCACGTGCCTCACAGTTACGTAGTCCGTCTCTAGATAAAACACAGCAATTCAGCTCTAAAACAAATTCAGAGCATAGCTCAACAGTATCTTCCTCCCTAGTGAGGAATGCTGTTTCTAAAACTGCCCCTTGAATTCTTTTTCATCTCTTTGCTTGTTTGCTTTTGTCCTTTGAATTGTGATCCTGAGAATTGTGATCCTCACGCAACTGTTTGCTGGGTCACGCTGGAGACTAAATCATGGGAATGACCTGCAACAAATACACACTCTTG